AAAAAAAAAAAAAAAAGAAAAAGAAAATAAAGAAATCAAATGGCAACACAAAAGAATTCCACCAAACCAGAAAATCAAACACCAGAGAAAAAGAAACAGAGAATTTATAAAAACAACTAAATAACTACAACATGAAAGGAACAAAACCTCATATATCAATATTAACCTTGAATGTAAGTGGATTAAATGCTCCCATTAAAAGATATAGACTGGTAGAATAAATTTAAAAAACATGATCCAACTATATGCTCCTTACAAAAAACTTACCTATAAAGACACATATAGACTGAAAATAAAGGGCTGTAAAAACATATTCCATGCAATTGGAAACCAAAAGCAACAGTTGTGATAGTTGTACAAGACAAAACAGACTTTAAATAAAAAACCGTTCAAAAAGACAAAAAAGATAATCAGATATTGATAACAGAATCAATTCAGCAAGATAATATAATAATACTAAACATAGCCAGGCATGGTGGCTCACGCCTGTAGTCCCAGCACTCTGGGAAGCTGAAGCAGGCAGATCAGCTGAGGTAGGGAGTTCAAGACCAGCCTGACCAATGTGGAGAAACCTCGTCTCTACTAAAAATACAAAATTAGCTGGACGTGGTGGTGCATTAAAAAAAAAAAAAAATTATTCATTTGAAATCGTCTTCCAGGAGAGATTGTGATATCCTGAGGACCTCATTCATTTTATTTGCTTCTTTTCTCTTTAACCTGCTACACTACCTGCTCATTGAAGGCACAGAATATTTTAAATTGACCACCACTTGCTGTAAATACTGAAGATCTCAGTACAACTCAGAAAGCCACACCCTGAAGGAGTATGTGTGGATGCTAACGCCATCCTCACTACAAAAGGGAGTTCATTGTCTTTCTTTTTCTGCAAATTGGTGCAAAGCAGTTTTTTTGTTTGTTTGAATCTAAGGGATAACACTTCATAAAAGTAACAGTGACACTATTCAATTTGGTTCATTTATATGATTTGGCTTTCATAGGTTGTTAAGAAAGCAGTAAATTCTGTGAACCTAGATTGGATTTCCTTGATTCTGAAAAGTGCATTGAAAAAAATGTACATATGGAAAGGAGTAACTGAGGTGACAGAAAGACTTGCTGAGGAGATGACATGTGGGATGGGACCCGAATTAATGTATTAGTATAAAAAGTCAGGTCAGAAGACTTCAGGGAAGATGGCAGAATAAAAATCACGAAGAATCTGTATCCCCACCTAGACAACCATTGCATTGGCAGAATCCAACTGATGTGGCTATTTTGAAACTGTAGATACTATTAAAAGCTTGCAGGTTCCAGGGAATGACTGGATAATAAAATGTGGTTAATTTTGGTCAATTTCAACTCTTAGTTGAGTCAGCAGCCTTGACTCATTTCCCTCCCCAGCTCCATGACAGGTGGCTATGCAGAAGTTCTAACAGCAGTTTGCATGCAGTTTTGGGGGGCCAGGGTGGGCAAAAAGGACCTGTCTTCCAAATATTGGGGATCTGTGCACTGCTTGATAATTGCTGCTTCCAATTACAGAGTTACAGACAAAGAATTGGGTGGTGATGGTTGCTACTGTATCTCTCCCCATTTTTCAAAGGCCCTTCCCCTCCATCTGAAGTGACTTCCAGCCTGATGCCTTTTATTTTTCCCTTAATGTTTTTATTTCTCTCCTTTTGAGAGCCACTGAAGATTAGGTTGTAGGAAAATAACCATACATACAGAGAAAATTAGAAAGTTACCACACATGCCCAGGGACAAGTACAACTAAGAAAAGACCTGAGAAGAACTTAAGTTTACACCTTAGGCTGTTTCTCAGCCCACAAACACCTGACAATAATGTTACTTAAAAACTATTTTATATATTTTCTTTTATTGATACATATTTTATATATATATAGGTACACGTGAGTATTTGTTGCATGCACAGAATGTGTAATGGTCAAGTCAGGGTATTTGGGGTATCCATGATTTTGAGTATTTACCATTTCTATGTGTTGGTAACATTTCAATTCCTCTCTGCTAACTACTTTGAAATATGCAATATATTGTTGCTAACTATAGTCACTCTAGTCTGCTTTCTAACATCAGAATTTATTCCTTTGATCTAAATGGAAATTTGTACCTGTTCACCAACTTTTCTTCATTTTCCCTTCTTAGCCTCTGATATTTGTTATTCTATTCCCTGTCTCCATGAGATCAAGTTTTTCACCTCCCACATATAAGCGAGAACATGTGGTATTTGTCTTTCTGCACCTGGCTTATTTCACTTACCATAATGACCTCAAGTTCCATCCATGTTGTTAGAAATAACATTTTATTCTTTTTATGGCCAAATACTATTCCACTGTGTACATAAACCATATTTTCTTTATCCATGAGTCCACTGATGGACACTTAGGTTGATTCCATATCTTTGCTATCGTGAATAGTGCTGTGAAAAATATGCAAGAGCAAGTATCTCTTTGATATACTGATTTTTTTTTTCCTGTGGATAGACACTAGGTTTGCTGGATCATCTGGGGGTTCTATTTTTAGGTTTTTGAGAACTCTACATACTGTTTTCCACAGTGGTTGTACTAATTTACACTTTCACCAATAATGAAAATTTCCTTTTCTCCATATCCTCATTAGCATTTGTTTTTTTAAATATTTTTTAAATATTTTTAGTACTTTTTTTTTTTTTTAGACGGAGTTTCACTCATGTTACCCGGGCTGGAGTGCAATGGCGCGATCTCGGCTCACCGCAACCCCCGTCTCCTGGGTTCAAGCAATTCTGCCTCAGCCTCCCGAGTAGCTGGGACTACAGGCGTGCGCCACCATGCCCAGCTAATTTTTGTATTTTTAGTAGAGACGGGGTTTCACCATGTTGACCAGGATGGTCTCGATCTCTTGACCTCGTGATCCACCCGCCTCGGCCTCCCAAAGTGCTGGGATTACAAGCGTGAGCCACCACACCCGGCCAGTACGAACAATTCTAAGTAGGGTATCTCGTTGTGGTTTCAATCTGCATTTTACTAATCGTTAGTGATGTTGAGCATATTTCCATATACCTTTTGGCCATTCGTATGTCTTCTGAGAACTGTCTGCTCATGTCCTTTTCCCACTTTTAATGGGATTATTTATATTTTTTCCTGTTGAGATGTTTGAGTTCCTTGTATATTCTGGATATTAGTCCCTTGTCACATAGTTTGCCAATATTTTCTCACATTCAACAGGTTTTCTCTGCACTCTTGTTGCAAACTCCCCTTACTTTGCAGCTGCTTTTTAGTTTAATATAGTCTCATTTGTCTATTTTTGTCTTTGTTGTCTGTGCTTTGAGGTATTAGCCATAAAATATTTGCCTAGACCAATGTCCTGAAGTATTTCCAATATGTTTTCTTCTAGTAGTTTTATAGATTCAATAGCTACAATTGTTAAAGAATGTGATCTTCAGATACAATCCTGTCATACAACAAAGGCTCCAGGTCACCTGAAGGATAACAAAATGCCTATAACCACTGGAAGATTTGGTGATGTAAAGAAAAAGAAGAAACAGCTTCCTATAATATTTGTAGCTAAAGCAGCTGCAATTATGGAGATGGAGCCTTCAACACTTAAAGATCTTATACTCACAAACTCCACAGATCCAAACATTGTTGCTGACATGTACATGTTCTTAGGACAGTGAGAGTTGTGTCTGTACTGAACATGTAGACTTTTTTCTTGTCATGATTCCCTAAACAATAAAAAACAATTTATATAGAATTTACAATGCATTGTGTATTATAAGTCGTATAGAAATGATTTAAAATATACAGAAAAATGCACCTAGGTTCTATGCAAACATGCTGTTTAATGTCAGAGACTTGAATATCTCTGAATATAGGTATTCCTGAGGGTGCTGGAATCAATTCACCTCAGAAATTAGGGAGGACTGTATTCAAAAGAAACTGAAGCTGCTAAATGCTTTACCACATTGTTTACATTCATAGTGGTTCTTTGCAATTTGAAATTTTTCATGTAACTGAAATGAATAGGACTAGTAAATGCATTTCTACATTACCTACAGTAGTATCCACTGCTAGTATGTCATAACATGCACCTTTGAAAGTTTGCTAGAGAAAGAAAGGCTGTTTCATATTCCTCACATTCACTGTATTTTTTTTTTTTTAAGTATGAATTTGGTCATGTTTTCAAAAGGTACTGAAAAAAATGGAAGATTTTAGTACATTTTTATATTCATATAACTTTTTTCAGCATGAGTCTTTTTGTGTATTTATAAGAAGCTGAAAGTACTTAAGGCTTTCCCATATGTTCAGCACTCATAGGGGTTTTTTCTAGTGAGTGCTTTCATGTTTATGAAAGGAACTGATATAATGAAATGCTTCCCCACATTCTTTACACTTATAGGGTTTCTCTATACTGTGGGTCCTTTCATGTTTATGAAAGGCACTGGGACAATGGAATGGTTTCCCACATTCCTTACATTTATAGGGCTTCTCTCCAGTATGAACTCTTTCATGTATTCGTAAGTAACTCGAATGACTGAAGGCTTTACCACATTCCTTGCATTCATAGGGTTTCTCTCCAGTGTGAATTCTTTCATGTCTTTGCACTGAACTGGGATAATCAAAGCCTTTCCCACATATCTTACATTTATGAGGTCCACTTCCAGTGTGCGTGATCATGTGTCTTCGAAAGCTGGAGAGATCAGATAATGCTTTCCCACATTGGTTACAACCATAGGGTTTCTCTCCAGTGTGAGTCCTTTCATGTAGTTGAATGTAACTGGAAGACCTGAAGGCTTTCCCACATTGTTTACATTTATAGGGTCTCTCCCCAGTGTGAATTCTTTCATGTCTTCGAAATGAACTGGGAGAATCAAAGCTTTTCCCACATATCTTACATTTATGAGGTCCATCTCCAGTGTGCATTATCATGTGTCTCTGAAAGCTTTTCAGATGAGAAAGTGCTTTTCCACACTGCTTACATTGATAGGGCTTTTCTCCAGTGTGAGTCTTTTCATGTACTCGAGTGTAATTGGAAGACCTAAAGGCTTTTCCACATTGTTTACATTTATAGGGTCTCTCCCCAGTGTGAATTCTTTCATGTATTTGAAGGTAAGTGCAACAAATGAAGGCTTTTCCACATTGTTTACATTTATATGGCTTCTCTCCAGTGTGAGTATTTTCATGATTTCGAAAGTAATAGAAATCACTAAAGGCTTTCCCACATTCACATTTATAGGGTTTCTCCCCTGTATGGGTTGTTTCATGCCTTCGACATAAACTGGGAGAATCAAAGGCTTTCCCACATACCTTGCATTTATGAGGTCCATCTCCAGTGTGCGTTATCATGTGTCTCCGAAAACCTGTGCAATCAGAGAATGCTTTCCCACAATGCTTACATTCGTAGGGTTTCTCTCCAGTGTGAGTTCTTTTATGTCTTCGAACTGAACTGGGAGAAAGAAAGCCTTTTCCACATATCATACATTTATGAGGTCCATCTCCAGTGTGTATTATCATGTGTCTCTGAAAGCTTCCAAGATGATAAAATGCTTTCCCACATTGCTTACATTCATAGGATTGTCCTCCAGTCTGGATCCTTTCATATAGCTGAGTGTAACAGGAACAACTAAAGGCTTTCCCACATTGTTCACATTGATAGGGTTTCTCTCCACTGTGTGTTCTTTCATGTCTTAGAGAGGAACTGTAAGCAGGAAAGGCTGTAGAACACTGCTTAAATTCATATGGTTTCTCTTCAGTGTGAGTTATTTTAAGCATATGAAATAAACTAGGCCAAATGAAGGCTTTTCCATACAACTTATATATACAGGGTCCATCTCCATGGTGTGCTGCCATGTGTCTTTGAAGGTTTTCAAGAGAACTAAAGGTTGCACATTCCTTACAATCATAGAGTTTCTTTCCATGCTGAGGCCTTTCATGTATTTGAAAGTAGGGCTGATAACTGAAGGCTTTCCCAAATTGGTTATGTGTATATGGTTTCTCTCCACATTCTGGATACTCACATGGTTTGTGTCCAGTGTCAACTCTAATGTAGCAATTAAGAGATGAATGACCCAGGAGGACTTCTGTATGTTCACTGCTTTCCCATAGATCTACTCCAGGCATTTTCTCATTCACAATACCATCTTGAATCTGGGTAAAGGGTCCTCCACATTGACTATTATCTTTAATTTCACAGGATCTCTCTACCATAAAACATCTGTAAAAAATAAGAAGTACATTAATAAAGGTTTATTAATGATTTTGTATTAATAAGTATTGAATTCACATTTCTTTCTTTCTTCTTTTTTTGAGACAGGGTCTCACTCTGTTGCCCAGGCTGGAGTGCAGTGGCACGATCTCAGATCACCACAGCCTCCACCTCCTGGGCTCAAACCATCCTCCCATCTCAGCCTCCCTAATAGCTAGGACTACAGGTACATGCCACCATGCCCAGATTATTTTTGTATTTTTAGTAGAGATGAGGTTTCGCCATGTTGCCCAGGCTAGTCTTGAACTCCTGAGCTCAAGCAATCTGCCTGCCTTGACTTCCCATAGTGCTGGGATTACAAGGGTGAGCCACGATGCCCAGGCTTTCTTTTTTTTTTTTTTCTTTTCTTTTTTTTGAAACTAGGTCTTGCTCTGTTGCTCAGGCTGGAGTATAGTGATGTGAACAGGGCTTACTGTAGCCTTGACCTCCTGGGCTCAAGCAACCTTCCTGTCTCAGCCTCCCAAGTAACTGGAACTACAAGTAAGGCACCATGCCTAGCTAATTTTTGTATTTTTTGTAGAGAGGGGGTCTTGCCATATTGCCCAGGCTGCTTAAACACCTGGATTCAAGCAGTCTTCCTCCCTTAGCCTCCTAAATAGTTAGGATTATAGGTATGAGCTATGGCACCTGGCCTGGATTTACATTTCTAACACTATCATGCAAAGTGTAGGCTTCAAGCCCCCTTTGAACATGAATGGACAGAATGATGTGTAAGATAACTCGATCCCAGCTGTTTTGAAGATAGTGACATTCATATGAGGATTCTTAATACTGCTTCCAAGAGAACTATTTTGCAAGCACTGAATAGCTATGTCATATTTAAGTATTTCAGTATATGTTTCTGAAGAAAATTTTTTAAGAATAAATTTAAGGTGGGCTTGTTAATTTTCCTTGCTTCTTTTTAAAATTTTGGGCCAGGCACAGTGGCTCATGCCTGCACTACCTGCCTTTTGAGAGGCCAAGGTGGGATGAAAGCTTAAGGACAGGAGCTTGAGATGAGCCTGGTCAAACATAGCAAGACCCTATCTCTACAAAAACTAAATATTTAGCCACATGTAGTGGTATCAGCATGCCTATAACCTAGCTACTCAGGAGGCTGAAATGGGAGAACCACTGAGCACAGGAGTCTCAGGCTACAGTAAGCTATGATCACATCACTGTATTCTAGCCTGAGCAACAAAGTGAGACACTGTCTCTAAAACGAACAAAATAAAATTTCTAGCATACTATGAATCACTCCAAGGACACAGCTTTCTCTGGCGAGTGCAAATTACCTTAGATTTCTCCCAGGATTTTTGTATTTATCTTCCTCTATATTGAGGTTTTGCCATTTCATTCCTAAAAGTTAGAATGAGAAAAATGAGTATAAATTATTACAAAATTATAGAAAGACTATAAGATTTTATGTACAGTGCAAGAATGCATAATTCACACACCAAACTACAGTTGACTCTTCAACAACACAGGTTTGAACTGCACAGGTCCACTTACATATAAATTTCTTCAGTCTCTGCTACACCTGAGACAGTAAAACTAAACCCTCCTCTCATTCAGTCTACTCAATGTAAAGACAATGAGAATGAAAACTTTGTTATGATGTACTTTCCATGAATACTAAATAATGTTCTACTTCCCTACAATGAATATTTTCTTTTTCTAGCTTACTTTACTGTGAGAATATATAGCATGTAATACATATGGCATGTAACACATGTATTAATCAACTGTTTATGTCACCAATAACGCTGCCAATAAACAGTAGGCTACTAGTGGTTAAGTTGTGGGGGAGAAGATGTATGACTGCTTGGGTGGCTGGTTCAAGGGTCAACTATATCCACCTTTCCATATTTCAAATCATCGGACAGCATTGATGACCAAGAAACAAATGTCTCTAATTGACTAAGTGAAGGCATGATGTCATCCTTACCTATACAGTCCAGGTTTCTGATGGTTTCCTGCATCACATCCCTGTACAGACTCTTCTGCGATGGACCCAGCAAAGCCCACTCCTCACAGGTGAAGTTTATAGCCACATCCTCAAACGCCACTGAGTCCTGAAACATTCCACACGTGCAGAGGAGGAAGATTGAAACTGAAGGCACTGGGAATCTATATTCACTTCATAACCTTCACATGGTGGTGTGATTTCCAAGCATTTATTCAAGGACATGGTAAACCCACTCTTATTCTTTCTTTACACTCATTTTATCTCACACAGCAATTCTGATGCTAGAATTGAGCATGTTTTGTAAAGTAACAGTTGAATAGGAACACAGCTCTTGTTGGTGAGTTAAGAAAGTGAGTCTTATTGCCTGAATCACTCCTAATTTCTATTTCTACAGTAAATCTGTAGTTCTTGTCATGACAAAGTCTTACCACCTATTGTGCAAAAGAGACTTACCAGCACAAAGGCTCTCACCAGATGCCCAGCCTTGATGCTGGGCTTCCCACCCTCCAGAAATGTAAAAAATAAATATCATTTCTTATAAATTACCCAGGTTAAAGCATTCTGTTATAAGCAACAACAACAACAAAGGACTAAGACAGCCAGACAGCCATGAAAAAAACACTCTGGTCACTGTATCCGTAATGAGTGACCTTTGTGCCTTGGGGGATTTAGCCTGTGCTATGGGACTACACGAAGAGAGAGTATTTGGAAGCTAGCAACTGGTTTCCTGTAGAACAAATGTAGTTAAGTATGACAAAAGACTAATAAGGATATGTTACCATCCCAATGGAAAAATTTTAAACTTTATTAAGTAATGTCAAAGAACAAGAAGGGCAAAGATTGCGTATGTTCTTAGAAAAAAAACTCAATGTCACCTCTCATGAATATCTGTAATATTCCCTAAATCCCTAAACAGACCTTTTTGTCATCATTAAAAATTATATGACCAAATCTAACAGAAGTCACAAACATCTAAAAATGCTAAAAACCTTCTAACCAAGAAAGCAACAGCTTTCCAAAAACAGATAAAGTATTGTAAATATATAATATTCAGCACCTTGTACTATTAACACAGAGATAAACAAATAGAATAAGGAAGGTGAAAAACAGTAGGAAGGCTTTGTGGAGTTTTTATTTGTCCTTGTCCCAATCCCTCCTCACATCAGAGCCAGTGATGAAGGCAGCAGCCCAAGTTTCCAATGTGAATCCCTAGAGAGAGCAGATCAGATCTTCTTTGTAAGTTATTGCACCTTCATATTTTTCATACATCTGTGGACTATCCAAAGGTCTGAAAGAAAGCTCTCTTTTTTATTTCATCAATGACGGTGCCTAATTAGGCCAAGCTTGGCAGGAACTGCTTCCAAATGTTGCAAAATACATAAAAAACCTTCAAACAACTGGGACAACAATTTATGATGAAGACATGTGGTAGAGGCTGGGTGTGGTGGCTCACACCTGTAATCCAAGCACTTTGGAGGCCAAGGTGGGCGGATCACCTGAGGTCAAGAGTTCAAGATTAGCCTGACCAATATAGTG